AATGGGGGTATTTGTGCTCAGCTAAAGCCAGATACCGACAACTCCCCTATCCCCCAAACGCCCCCCCCCCCCCCCCCCCCCCGTCAAAAAAAAAAGAAAAAAAAAAAAAAAAGAAGCCTGTTTGAACAGATTGAATTCAAAGCATAAAACCCAGACTTTGGCCCAAGCCTTGAAAGATGAATTGCAAACACGCTTCAATTCTGGCGTCGTTGGTATCATGAATCATGAATCATAAAAGCGTTTCCCAGCAAAGTAAGTCCTGCGACTGTGCTGTAACTATCCTCGAAGGACGGCCTTGGTACAAAGTCAGAGGAAAGAATTTTAACGTTAGAAGCTTTAGAAGCTTTGCAAGTCTTACAATGTCTATCAGTCTCTCGGAAGCAGGAGACTTGATCGAGTAGTAGTTATGCCGCATTTCGACCTTGTAGTTGACGTCGCCGTAGTTCTGTTTGAGCATTGCGGATAGCCGACGTGGGCTAGACACATGTTTGGAGTGTATTTTCTGCACATGGAGGTCTTCGTCGACAGACGACGTCGTGGAACCTGCGTCGGATCTTGGCATTTGAGGCTGGCGGTGTTCTATTGGGTATGGTACGGATAGTGTGGATTCTTGATTTTGATCTTGTTGACGGTGGCCGTAGCTTATGCTTCAAGGGTAGTAACGAACATAAGACTTGTGTGAGACGTTCATATGAACATGAAGATGTAATTTTTGTGATGCTCTGACTAGCAGACATGATCGAGTGCAAGTCTGCGCAAAGGGGAACTAAATATCGCATGATGGAATAGAGGCCATCGCTATTTTCAGGCACCATCACCAGGACGCCTGACTACGGCGTACACGAGGCGGGTTACTCACCGGAGCTATCGCCTGGAACGACTGACACACGTCTGAGAAACCCCCAGTCATTTGAAGTGTAAAAAGCCGCAATTGGCCGCCCGGCGTCATCCCTTGCCACGTCGTACTGATCTTGGTTAGGTAATTGGGTGCGGACGCTTCACAATGCGACGAACAAACGCGGACCACGAGGCAGCCCGCATCGCACAGGTTGCCTTGCGCGACTCACCGCTATGGAAATAGCAGCGCGTCAGGCGTCTCGCACTTTGGAACAGGGGACCGCAGTTGTGGCAGGCAGCAGACCGGATTCCGAGACCTCATTGCATGTTTGTGCACAACTGGGAGATTGGAGGATTTGGGTTTCTTTGATTGGCTCGTCTGTAATAAGACAGGCATTATGGAGGGCATAGCCACCACAGCCTGCTTCTCCGAGTGGACCCATGCAGCGTTGTGGAATTGTCTTAGGTATGCTGTACATGCAGGCTGGCCCGAAGTCCCTTGTGAACATTGGAACATCCTGCGCCTTTATCGGGCATACCGTGGGGCAGAGAAGGGGGGAGAAGGAGGCAGCAGGATTCAATTGTCCGGGTTGGGATCGGGCTGGCTGAAGTTCACTCCCCCGTCGCTCAACAGAGCTACGTTCCTGTCTTACAGAATTAATCAATCTGCGCGGGAAAGGAAAAAGGGGACCAACATAGATAGTTGCGATTGATGACAGCCCCGGCCCAGGTCCGAACGGAGCCTGTGGGGGCCACCGGATGACAACCGAGATTTATGGACCAAATGCCGGCCAGCCGGCTTTTGGCTCTTCCTCCAGTTTCCCCTCTAGTTTCTAAGGGCGCACTTGATCTAAGGCTAGAAAAATAATATGATCGATTTTTGAGAACTCGAGAATTAAGCTACGCAAACGCTATGCAAGAAATTTGACCCCCTTAACGCCGCCAGACGAACAGTCTCGTGAAAATTCTAGAACATCAAGGTGGGCTGCCCGTATGAACATTGGTCGATATCCTCCTGCACCAAGTAAGCATGAAGTCAAAAAGTTTTTTGCCAAATAGCGCACCTGAGAAAGCTTTCCTCTCGCGAAGATTGAGAACATATTGTGTCTCATTTCAACACGATATGCCTTTTGTCCAAACCGTCTGTTCAGGACCTTTGACAGCTTCGCTGGGTCGACAGACTGGCTTGCTATCGTCTGGGTCGGTGCTGACCCGGCATAACTTCTGCTTCTTTGAGAGCCAGAGCTAGAGCTATGGACAAACGTTAGTTGCAAATGAAAAGCCGTTTCGTCTCTGCCACTCACTTCATGATGGCACGTTGACAGAAGAACAAAGAGTTCTATAATCAATGTGACAGCGAAAGGGTGTTGATGTTCAGCAGAGGCTTTCCGCGCGAGCTGTGGTGGGAGCCATCCCAGAGTTATGCCCCAGGGCGGCCGACTTCGCCCCCCGCAACCCGGACCAACAGATCAGGCTGAGGGTGGGCACAGCTGAACACGCATTCCTTGTGCGACACGTTCATTGGATCTTGGGGCTGACCGCGCAACCGAGTGCTACACACCATATTCCAGAAGGAACACAGATTTTCTGAGCCAGGCATTCCGCAATCGGGCCAATCATGTCCAGGAACTGTCCGCTTATGCATGCTCCATAGCCTGATTCTAGGCTCGAAGATGGCGGCTTCCGCACAATAGACCCAGCCCCCATTCATCTGCATGTGACGTTCCAGCCTGCATGGCGCTGTTAAGGGAGGAACACTTCCCAAACTTGAAGACGCCAGCCCATGCTTACTAGTACATGTACCCGTGTCCAAGGTTGATCACCGGTGTAAGCAGCCGACAGGTTTGGGGCTTGTCCTCCCCTCTACCCTCATTTCGGCTAGAAGAACTTCTGGTCAAGCCCTCCGGGGACCACACTATCGGATCTAAGATACTCTAGGATTGTTACAGCCAGAGCCTTGCGACGTGGCGTACTTGAAAGTGGATGATTTTTCTGCGAGCATTACGTTCATAAGAGAGTTTTAATCCGATGTTGTACGCATTTTCCTTTGACCCAGCCAACAGCTGTTGCCAAACAATCCAAAGTCAAAATGCATCTTGACGGCTCTGTAAGAATCCACCCCAAATAGAACGTACTTGATACTCATGACTTCTAGACTGAGAAGCACGCTCAATGGGGTTCTCCCGAGGTACGTCGTTCTGCGTGGTGCAATCTGTGGGGAGACCGTTGCTCGACCCATTGCCTCCACGTGAGGTTCTTGGCCACTTGCTCATATTAATCTCAGGCAATTGCCGATGCAAGCTCTTCATCCGAAACCGAGGGCTCAACGGGAGACGAGTCTGCATTGCCCCCTGTTCATTTGACACAGCCGGATGGTACTGTGGTTGAGATTAACGACACTGACAAGGACCAAGCCAACCCTGCCAGGCGGTTGGACCGCGTTCCCTCTTGGAGGGATAATGAAGATTTGTCTTCGGCCATATCGCAGAATGGTCCAACAACAACGCCATCGGACGGACAAACGGAAGTGAACGACCACGGTGATACCGCACAGCTCAGGCAAGGGACAACTATACCCTATTCAAACGCCACGCCATCACTAGAGAATGACTTTTCAAACGTTGGAGGTGCATCTGGTCTTGGTGACGAGACAACGGTTGCACCATATCCACTCGATCTGTCAGATTCAGGAAGCGAAGATGGCGATGGCCTCTGGGAGTCCATTGATGAGCAGCTCATTTCGCCACCACCAGACGATAAGGAGTACCTTCCCCTGGACCAGCTTCGAAGGATCATGGTGAAGCGCCGGGTTCGAAAGGCATTGAAGAAACACCTGAAGCTGGATCGAGATACTCGATACAGGTACGCGTGTGAGGTATGCGACACAACCAACTACGGGACTGCGCGAAAAACAACGAGGCATAAGCTCTTTGCTGTGCTGGTCCGCATTGAACACCTTGAAGCTCTCCCCAGTATCATCGAAGAGAACATCCATGATGTTCACTTGCCTTTCACTTTGCAGAAGGGTCATCAGTGGCACCTAACCTATGAGGGTGTTGACAAAGTCGCCGTAAAGTTCCGAGCTAGTTGTGGCTGGAGCAAACCAAAGCTCAGCAGGTTCGTCAAAGAGCAGTGGCTATTCATGGCCCCTTTCTTCGATATGCGAGCGAGTAAACCTCACTTCTACCCTCTCGAGGCTCAGGTCGTTCTTCCGTTTGTCAGTGACGAATCCCCGACGGACACTGCGTTTGGTGGATTTGGCGACGTTTTTCAAAGGCAGATTCATGCCGCACATCATAACTGTACAGAGGTAAGATCAATGAATTGATGCTGGGGTAACATCCGAGGCGCCCGTTTCTCACAGATAATGATAGCACACGCAACCATTCTTCGCCATCAAAAAGCTACTCAACAAGGACAGAACAGAGTTTGAAGACGAACAGTATGCGCTAAAGAAGTTCAATCAAGAAAATCACCCACACTTGACGAAGCTTCTTGCCACTTACTATCACCACGAACACTACTATTTCGTCTTCCCCTGGGCTGATGGGAACTTGAGGGAGTTTTGGCAACGCTACGGAACACCAAAACGTGACCACAGTCTCATCATTTGGCTGGCGGAGCAGTCGGCAGGCATAGCCTCCGGCTTGAAGCTGATTCAACATCCGCCCCCGAATCTAGAGTTGACAGTTCAAGATGCCAGGGACTATGGGAGACATGGAGACTTGAAACCTGAGAACATTCTCTGGTTTCGTGATCCTGACGCAGAAGAAAGCTTGATTGGGAGCGGCTTACTCAAGATTGCCGACTTCGGTCTGACGCGATATCACCGCCACAACTCAAGATATCAGAAGCTCAATAGCGGCGGAGGCTTTAAATGCTCGTTGACATATAAGGCCCCCGAAGTCGATGTGGTCGATTCGGTATCAGAAGCCTACGATATTTGGACCTTAGGCTGTCTTCTTCTCGAGTTCATCACCTGGTACCTCAGGGGCTGGCAGGCGGTTGACGACTTTTCTGCTAGACGGGCAAGCGAAAGTCAAGATCCCGACCACGACATTCCTCTCGACACATTCTTCAATGTTGAGTCAAAGAATGGTGTCAGGGGCGCTGGTCTCAAGCGTGCTGTAAAGGAAGTAAGTACATATACGCTGAGTGAAATTTGTGGTACTGTTGCGGAGCTCGAGCAATGAATTGATGTTAAATTTGGAAGGAATTACTAACAGCGATTCTCAGTTGATAGATGACTTGCACGAAGACGCCAATTGTTCCAAATTCCTTCACGATCTACTCACATACACACTTCATCACCTCCTTCGGAGCGACCACAAGAAGAGGGCCAAGTGTGTTGACGTGGTGAAAATGCTAGAGAAGATGGCAAGTGACTGCAGGAATGACAAGTCATATGCTGTTGATGGACGCATGAAGCCGCCGAACAAGTCGGACACCATGGACACAACGAGAACCGATAAGACAGTATCGGAATACGGCCGCAACACCGCTGAAGACGATCCACTGACGACGCCACACGCATCCCGACAAGGCACACCAGCACGAGAAAAAGGTCTGCATGACTTTGTGAGATACGATGAAATTAAAGAGCGGGTTTTATACAATGATGTCATGGAAACCGACACGGATGAAATCGCAGCAGCAGAAGAGCCATCTGAGAATGAAGAAGAGACACCAAAGCAAGATCTCAACGTCGCCTCCCAGGACGTTGGTCCTGATGAGATGGAAATTTCGACGTCAACTGCCCGCAACACGACCTTTCTGCAAAACGACTCATTTTCCAGCTCCAGTACCGAAGGCTATGCAATATCGCAGCCGAATGAAAGTGGATTTGGAGAGAATCTGAAAAGGAAGAGCTGTGGCATCAGAGAGGAGCTTCCCACTCAAGAGATGAAGCGCCCAAAGCTCGCGGAGGAGGAGTCTACTCTTGTTGGCTCGATTGCAGAATTGAATGAGCGCCCTGTAGCACAGACTGTTGAGGGGTAAACATGCCAAGTTTCAGTCACGAGGAATGTACCCTGGGTCGGCAGTATGACATCTTCATACTTGCAAATGCGAGCTTGTTGGCACGACGGGGGATGAAGTACATAGCAGATTCGATAGACTGGTAAATATTTCAATTTGGGCCTGGTTTTGCAATCTCTCTAGCTTCCCATTCTTCAACCACACGCAGGTAAAGCGGCCAGTGGCCTTATCGTGGCGGGTGATAGTGGACTTGGACTCTCTCGTGAATTTCCTGAATCTCGGTCTGACCCGTGACTGTCAACGTAGGTCCACACAGCTGTGATTGGTTATATACGGCCTTACCTGTCCGAGCTTGCGAGGGCCGTCTACTACAAATTGGCCACCCTTGGTCTTTCACTTACGTGAGCACATGACTGTGAGAGCGATACCAATTCGGTCATGACATACAGTGAGGGAGTACCGGTGTGCTCCTAAACGCTTGTCGAGCTCCTTCTTGACTGGGCCGGAGTTCGAATAGCACCAAGGTATGTAAGATCGGAAGACAACAGGCTGCGAGGGAGGCATGGTATCGACGATGGGCTCTCGGTCGCCGGACACCCAATCAGTTCGGTAGGGGATGGAATTGTATTTGCTGAAACGAGGCAGAAATCCGGGTGAAGAGCCTGAAGGAGAGACTCGAGAACATCTGAATGTGCAAAGGGTCGAGTAGATTGATGGATAAGAATTTTAGATAGGATTACCCGCTTATCCCTCACCAAAGGCCAAGGCAGATTTGCCGGCGTTTCCCACGTGCGCCTTCTTTTTGCTTCAAGAGAAGCCCTCAGCATCAGGCTGACTGACTATCTCCAGGCAGCGAGTGCAACAGCTGCGACCCCGCTGTAATCTCAACATCTCGTGGAACCACTGATCTCTTGATTGTGCAAACCTACAGTGCAACATGGTATGCAATCCGCCCTCGGCCATTGACGCTGCGGATGACCCCGCATCTGACATAAAATGCTCAGCCTGCGACGGAATATGCCTGCATGTTGTCGATGTTGCGGCGTGCATGAAAAGTGCGTGTGTATCCATGCCTCTGCATGATGCATGCAGCACGCTTCATGGGTCTGTGAAGCAGGCTGAGCAGCTATCGCACGATTGAGAGGTATGATAGGTAGTCACAGCAGACTAGGTCCAATGATTAAGAGACACGGGTCGAACGATGCGAGATGCCGCCCTCCCGCATGGCCGATCGGACAGTGATTGCCGTGGTTTTTTCAGGAAGAAGGTAAGCTTGCGGTTACGGTACACAACCCCGCCCACAGGTAACATCGTTGAAGATGGCACCGGCAGTCCGGGAGAATTTCGAAAGTGAGCGAGCTGAGAAGAATTCTTGTAACGTGCGTAGAGCGAGGCAGACCACTGGCGCCGAAGAATTGAGTGTCTCCAAGCCGCCAATACAAGTCTTCAAGCAATTGTCAAAGAGGTCCAGAGACGAAGAGTATCGCGGGCGGAAGATTTCCATCGGTTTGTCTCAGAAAACCAAACATGGAGTGGCCATCAAAAGAATCGGGGTTCAGCGCTCATGACTTCGAGTTATTCGAGTACGAAGAACGGCCGACGACAGTCATCACGATCCGGCTTGACGATTTAGCGGAACTACAGGTAAGGAGAAATGCGGCCCACGAAGAAATTTGGATCTGACCCTACAACCCTGAAGGATGCCTTTTTGGAGGACGAATTAACAACGGCTGAAGATTGGGAGACATGGCTACAGCGGGCCGTATGTATTTCACCACAAGCAAGGTGTTTTCCAGGGTGCTCATATTACCAATAGGAATCCGATATCACGGATGATGATGCAACAACGTTGAGCCTGATGTAAGCATATCGTAATTACGATCCCTTAAGGCGAAGAAGGGATTGGAGGACTATTGTTACTAACGCCGAACATGAAGAATATTCCGTCGTACTTCGAAGACAGTATTAGATTGTCCTTCGGAGATCCAACAATTACCAGTCTCTGAATCGACGTTTCAAAATGTCACCAAAACATTTGGCGTTCATCGGACCCTTGGCCGGATGATCAATCGCCGAGATTCAGAGTTCCTCCATTTACTAGAGGTCGATGAGAACATTGAGCCACAGAGACTAAGTAAGTTGGGTAGATAACCATCTTCATCCTTGAGCCAAGCCTGACTGTGATCGTAGTTTACAACTTCAGAACAAGCGCCATCGTCCCTGGAGACATTGCCGTATCTGTGACTCACGATCCCTATCGTCGGTCAACGACCGCTATCCTGTTTGGTCTCGGCGAAGCTCAAGAAAGGCTCTTTCTGTACAGGGTGAAAGAATCCCTAGAAGACTTCTGCCATCCCCTGGCGCTGGTCGGCGCAGTTTGCGAGCTCGAGCGAGACAGGTGGATCAAGAACGAGGTTCGGCCTATTGAGTCGACGTATATGGAGAAGAACGACCAATGGAGCATGGCTAGTAGTGACAACCTTGCGTCTGCGCCGGAAGGGGAAACCATGGAGGATGCTTTGGGGTTGCGCTTCAAGTCTACCATTCTACTCACAAGCCTGACCGCTGCGAGACGGCAGCTGAGTCGGATCGGAGATTACTTGCAAGAGATGCGCAAAGATGCTAGGATGACGTCGTTTCTGAGAGGCTGCGATGATTGCCACGATAAGGAGACTGAAGCTTCCGATGGTGGTGTGGATTTGAGCAAGCAGCAAGCTCACACTGCTGCTCGGCTACAGCACCGTCTCAATCAGATCTCCGATGAATTTGATATGAAGATAGACAGCTGCAAGGCATCTATGGAAGACATGATGGCTACAACTCAAGTCGTAAGATGGCCCACCCCACGTAACTAAACCATAGCTGACGACATGTCCAGGTTATGAGTCGCATCGCGAGGCACGACACCTTGACAAACACAGCGATCTCAGTGGCCACACGAAGAGACAACTCACAAATGATGTCCATTGCCTTCGTTACGATGGTTTTCTTACCACTCACGAGCATTGCAGTAAGCTGTTCCTTGTAGTATGTTTGCGACAGACATACTGACGATGGCAGACCATCTTCTCCATGAACGTATTCAACTGGGATGCCAAAGACGGCGAGAATCTCATCAACGTGCACTTTTGGCTTTATCTAGCTGTAGCTGGAGCGTCAACAGTCCTTACCGTTGGTCTGTGGATGATTTATTCAGGAGTAACTAAAAGGCTTTTCTGCATCCGCAAGAGGAGAAAAGATGAGGAAATGGGGTCTTGAGTGAGATGTAAACATGGTCAAGTCCGTGTGGATGTAGTAAATGCAGCTGCGTAATCCCTTTGAAATAATTGAAATCTTGCGTTCACGTTGCGTTCATTCGAGGCATCTTTTAAACATCGGTATCCATGCACACTCGGTACTGAGCCACGCCAGGTTCGAATGGTGTCATTCCCAGTCACATCAATAAATGGTTTCCACAGAAAACCCGCGATCGCAAAGGTTCTCAACTTTCGCCCAAGTTTCTGAGTTCGTCTAGTACCATTTGTAAATCATGGATGTACGCTGCCTTAGAAGATTGCTGCTTAGGGCATCTATCCAAATCTGGCATTCCTCAAGCAGGGCTAATGCCCGATTGATCCTGTAAATCACGCTTCCAAGGCCCATGCTCCTCAACGGCAAAAAGCACGATGCGACGAGGCGGAACTACCGGAAAGATTTCACACACAAGGGAGCTTCATCCAAAGACAAAATTATCATGATGTTGTGTCAAGGCAATTGGAGTTCTAAATCATGTCTCAAGACTATTGATGAAAGTCAAAGACAATGTCTTGCTGCCGGTGCGGCCCCACTCTGGGGTTGAGAGGCTCTCGCCCGATTTCGACCCCTTGCTTCCAGGATAGCCAGGATGGCCAACCCAGACGCCACCTATGTGGAAGTTTTCGTACCACGGATGGACTCTCTATCTTTGAAATTTGAATCAAAATGGGAATCACTGTCGTGGGACAGCCTTCGCGTGGCTAAAGCTAGGAAACGTTACAAGCGACGGGCTGTAGCACAGAAACCAAAGCCACGAGCAAGATTCACAATATTCAATGGCTGATTTTCTACATGAACAGCTGAAAAGGTTGATATCTAAAGCCTGTGGCGTTGCTTCGGAGACTACGTCCTTAGACCATAGGTCGAGGAAGCGAAGTCTGTAAGGGATGATGAGGCTTAAATTTACTTTCCCGTGTTTCTGCCCGAGATTAGTGTAGGTCTTACATGTCGATTCAATGATTGCCCGCACAGCTGATAATGATCTTCGCGATCATGCAGAGCTGAACTGACTGCCAAACGTCAAATTTCCGTGCTGACGGGCTGGACCTGGGCCAGGCACAGGATCGTTCGAGGTGTTTTGGTCTGACACAAGTCCTTGAAGCGCACCATCGCACTTGTCGTCAGTAAGCTTTAGTTATTCAATACACCTTTGTTGGACATAAAAGATGTCTGTTCTCGAAAGTTTTGCATTTGTCTTTTCTCAACTCTCACAAAGCATCAACCTGATCTCTTCCGATCCTTGTCCACTCTTTTCCGTCACCTTTCGAGGTACAGTCATTCTTTACTCACATCGTCACTCGTTTCAACATGCGTTCGACATTCGCTATTGCCTTTTTGGCTCCAGCCATCTTGGCTCAATCCAATGTTTTGCCTGGACATGGAACAGCTTCTGCAGGGTGGAACACCACCATCATTCCTGGTCCTACCGGGGTCATTTCTTCGACTGTTCCCATTCATACTGGGACCGAGTTTACAGTCACAACTACGGCTGCGAACTCCACCGGCATCTGGGTGACTGTTCCTCCCTCCACTATCACGGCGACATACACGGCCACTTACACCCACACTATCACCTCCTGCCCACCTGGAGTCAAGCCATGCCACAGCGGTGCTGTCACGACGTTCCTTACAACCATCACCACAACCTACTGCCCCGAGACTCCCGTTCCCACTCCTTGCCCTGGCGGCAAATGCCATCATCCTCCTCCATCTCCCCCTTCCCCTCCTTGCACCGGCAAGCACTGCGACAACCCGTTCGTCTGCTACGGAGATCACTGTGCCTACGATAAGCCTTGCGACGGTGGAGACTGCAGCCGCTGCCTCCTCTGTGCCGACGGAAAGTGCCAGCCGAACCAGTGCAGCGGCAACGACTGCGGAAAGATCATCATCTGCAAGGGTGACTCCTGCCGGTACCACAAGTGCCAAGGCGACAACTGCAACAAGGAGAAGATCGTCTGCCACGGCGACAAGTGCAAGTCTGAGAAGTGCCACGGTGACGAGTGCAACAAAAAGTACGTCTGCAAGGATGGCCATTGCAAGCACGAGCCCTGCCCTCCCGAAAACAACAACAAGCACTATGATTGTCACGGCGAAGAGTGCAAGCCCATCGAGGAGTGCAAGGGCAACCAATGCCCCAAGCCTCAGCCGCCCGTCAAGCCTCCTCAGCAGCCTTCCGGCACCCCGCCCGCGCAGCCACCGGCGAGCCCTCCTGTTCAGCCCTCGGCCCATCCATCCAAGTCCGGGGATGTCCCGCCTCAGGGTCCTGAGCAAACTCCCGTCAGCCCTCCGGAGCACACTCCTGTGAAGCCTCCTCAGGAGACATCGCCTGAGCCTCCCCAGCCTTCTGGCAACCATCCTGAGCAGCCCTCTCCCACGCCCGGGTCTCCTACAAAGCCATCTGAGTCCCAGCATCCCACCCACCCTGTCGTCGTTGCTGGATCCAGCAGGTCGGCTTCCGGGATTGCCTTCGTGGGTCTCGCTCTTGGTGTTGCAGGAGGGCTTGTCTTCCTCTAAGTGTAGGACAGGATTTGTGTAATGTGGAATGTAGTGTAGGCTTTTGTTTCTCTATTTCTCTTCTCACTGGTCGCCAGGGGCTGGGCCTCGCTGGTCTCTGTGCGGCCAGCTTGTATATCACAAACCTTTGTACGTAGGAAAGGGAGGCCCTGTAATCGTAGTGAAACATAATGATCAAGGATGAATATGTCAATAGAGAAAATAGAATGTTCATCTTCTCATCGACAGAGTAGCATAACCAACCTGAACTGTGCAAAGAAAGATAAAGTTTCTCGTCGTGACATTCCGTGTGGTGTCCATTGTGCATCTATCAATCTGGTTCCAGGTCCCAATCCCAAGTCTCCTTCGCGCAACATCTTGAACATTTCCAGCTCAGTCAAGGAGAGCAGCCTTCGCGATGTCTACCTCCTCCGCGGTACCGCAGATCAACCCAGCTCTTCCATCGCAGTCAACCGAGACCCTATCCAGTAAGGGCTTTCCATCTGACGGGTCGATCGCCTTTCCACCAGCGACCTCCATGATCAGGGCGATCGGGTAGAGCTCATACAGGAACCGCAACTTCGGCAACGTTCCCGGAGTCACGGGCATAACATACACACCGTGCCCTTTGACAAGCGCATGCACAATATCAGGGACAAGACCGCCGCAGTATCTCAGCGTATACTTCTTCTGGATGAACCGTGTGATGAGAGCACCGTATCTCTCATCATCCGCCGCATGGCGCAGGTTAGCTGGCGCGAAGTAGCGAGTCTTGAAAGGACCCTCTGCCAGCTTGACAACTGTGCGAATAATCTCGCAGTCCTCCACTCCACTCTGACCGAAGCCGATCTCGAAGCACGCAGCCTCGGCACCCGGGATGCGGAGCGCAACTATGGCTGTAGTCCGGGGTCCGATGACGCCCATCACGGCAGCAATCTGCTTCTCCCGTGGCGACTGCCCGACCGCAGTGCGTCCATCCCAGATTCCGACGATTGTTCCAACGGTCCAGTTCGGTGCAATAATAGAGCTACCATCCAGGGGGTCGAAAGCAACGGTGTATTCTTCCGAAGACGCCGGGGTGTCGTCGGCATTGCCGTTCGTTAATATCCTTGCTGGCTTCTCCACCGGATCCTCTTCACTGCTTGCGGTATGTATCGTCGGGCACTCAGCAATCGCGGCGCGCATGACATTCTCGGAAGCGACATCGACGTTCAGCTGGTCGTCGCCGAAAGCATTCGCGGTTCCTGCCAATGAGACATGTTGCGAGGCATGAAGCGTCTTGGCAATGTCTGAAACAGCTCCCAAAACCGCCGGAATTACTTCGTCGCGAAGAGACTTGCGTGCTTCCTGAGGAATGACGCCCTGGAGCTGTTGTACGAGTGCTGCCGACGGAGCCATGGTGAGAGATGCAGTGTGTAAAGTGAGGATGACCGGAAATTGTTGAGTCAGGGCGGGCCTGAGCTATTTTAGCATGAGAAAGGTGGTTGAGAGATTTTTGATGTTTGCGGATTGGAGAGCAACTGCCCCATAAAACTGTCTGACAGTGCCTTCGATCCACCAGTCAGAGGCCTGTCATCTTCTCTTTTGGAACTCTATCTAACGTTTATCCCACGTGGAGGTCGATCTTACCGGCAGGGGATACCTAGCAGTATGTGTGCAACAGCTATTTTTGTCGACTTCCGATCACTCAAGTTTGTACAGGAAGGCTATCAATCATTTGATGAGATTGCCAACGTCTATATAAGTTAACTATGAACAGACCTTGACTACCTTGACTGATGATCTTATCTTAAGGTCTAACCCTCCATGTGGGGGTCGTGGCTGGACGAGCAATGGCCCCAATTCGACTCATGCCTGCGAGCTTGCTTCGCTTTCATCTCTGCCGTTGCGCTTAATCCCATCATAAAATCGCCTTTCCTCAAAAATACGTATATCATCGTCGAAGTTGACCCTTCCAAGCTTTCTAGCCTTCAAGATCTTTCTTCTTACCCTCATCACATCGTACTCAGTGTTTCGGGTCAACCACCAGGTCCACAAATTACCCACAAAAGACGCGATTGTCGTCGCGGCCGCGATCGCAAAGCTGGTCTTGTACCCGTTGTATGCAAACCTGGATTGGAACAGCTGCGGGCCGATGACACCACCAAGCTGCGCAATACCCGATTGCAACCCCAAAGTGAACGCGGTGCCTGTTGACCCGGACAGTGTGGCTGATCTCCATGCCCAGAAAGGAATGAAGTATGACTGATAGAAGAGCGTCCCGAGGATGCAGCTTATGTAGATTCCGTAACGGTTGGTAATTGTGAAGAAGAGGACGAAGCAGACAACCATGCCTGACATGATGATCCTGGATGTGCGTTAGCTCTGATATCCTGGAAGTGATCTGGGGGATACGAACATGATAAGTGCGGGCCGGACGATGTAGGCCTTCGACATGAACCAGGCTGAGAAAATGAGACCAAGGATGGCAGCTGCAGCTGGCGGAATGTTGAGCAGCTGGTTCTTCGGCAAACCCACGAACCCCAGGTTGGTGACAATCGTCGGCAAATACCACGTGAGCGCATATCCGCCAATGTTGATCAATGTTTGCGACAACATGAAGGACCAAATGAGTGGGGTCTTCAGCACCGCAAAGATCTCTTTTTTGGAAAAGTCTGGATCGTTGGTGAGAGGCGCGTTCTCTGGCAGTCGAGCCTCAATGAACTCTTGCTCGCGTTTGGTAAACCATCGGTCGCTTCGGGGAGACTTTGGGTAATCAGGTAGGTACCAGAACACAGCGCCTGAGAAAACGATCGTCGCCAGCCCTTCGAGTAGATATACCCATCTCCAGGCGCTGAGGCCACCGATGCCGTTCATGTAGCTGATGCCATAACAGAGCAGAGACCCGATGATGCCTGCAAGGTTCGAGGTCGCGAAGAACCAAGTCACGGGCTTGCCGATTTCATCGGTGCGGTACCAGCTGGATAGCTGGGCCATAACTCCTGGAAACATGCCCGCCTCGAACATTCTGTCGCACTAAGTCAGTCTATGTTGAGCAGGTCAAACTCAAGGGCTGGTGCCTACCCTAGTAAAAAGCGCATCGCATAAAGCTGGTGCCGATTCTGTGTCGCGGCATGGCATGCGGTAATGATTCCCCACGTAAGGAAAATGCGAGATTGCCATAGATGCGGACTCATGCGCTTGAGAAGAAGATTGCTTGGTGCTTCAAACACGATATATGCAATCGTGAAGGTGTTAGTCTTAAGCACGAGGTGTAATGTGGGTGTTCGGATGATGTACTCACTCCGTAGATAGACCCAACCCAGTTGTATTGATCAGAAGTCATACTAAGCTCCTTCATGATGTTTCGAGATTCGCCAACCTGAAGAACACGAACATTTGCCGCGTTGCTTTGGTCAATCTTCATTGTCCTCAGTCAGTTGAGTGCCAATACTTCTTCAGCCCACAGCCGACATACCTGTTTGATCATGTACATGAAACCAATAATAATCAAGAACCTCTTGTCGATCTTGTTCAAAACGCTGCGCTCTTCGTCGGCTGAGAACGTTGACAAGAACGCTGCCCTAGCTTCAGGGTCATCTCGAAGATTGTCGGCATTCGATCGAGCGACAGTGGCATTGGCCTGTTTCCGAGTCGCTGCCGCCGCGTCATGGTCGACTCGGACCTCATCAGGCTGAATCGTGGAGCTCATCGTGCGGTACTGATCAGTCCTGCAATGGCCCCCAATGTCTCGGTGAATTTCTGTGGACAAGTCATCTTTATCTTCAATGGGAAATTCTCCATCGAATACCCGATGCCGGGCAGAAGTTCATTACTTGCGGCGTGTTACCGACGTCCCGCATCCTTATCAGCGGGGGTTCGGGGGTGGCATGTATGATGTGCTTGATGTCCATATGGCGATATAAGCTGCTCATACTTACATGGAGGTCTAAAGTGCCACTGGTGAGGTGCTGGGATTGCACTTGATTCGTTGAGGGACGCCGAGAGTGGATGGCGAAATCCCGGCCCACCATGCCACCATCCGGCCAACCTCGCACGCTGTCGCAACAGCTCCGACTTTGAGCACAACCCGGCTAAAACCCGTTGTTTCGTGCCACAATTGTGACTGTTTCTTTTTGTTATTCAACGTCTAGAGAATATTTGCCGCCAAGCTAGGTTCCGTGTCCGATGCAGGACCCGACTTCCAGGCTGCTGGGGAAAAGCATGGGACTTATGCGTGATATGTCGGAAGGATTCTTCACGCAAGACTCGGGCACAATGACGCAAACCAACAGGATCAGTATAATACAATAATCCTTTCGGGGTATTGGTTGAGCTAGACTGGGTGTAGACACTCAAAGTATCTTGCAGTGGCCGCGTCCATTCCGCTCTCAACACATCGCCTGGCTGCACCTAGACTGCTTACCTTACCGCCGGCTGAACTTCACCCACGATGACTTCATCAAAAGCCCAAAATGAAAGCAATGGCACCAAAGCCAAAAAGCAAATTTTGCTCAATGCCTTCGATATGTTCACGGTTGGCCACCTGTCATTCGGGCAGTGGCGAAACCCGAAGGACCGGGCCAAGGATAAGCGCCGGGATCTCACTTACTGGACCGACCTAGCCAAGCTCTTGGATAAGGGGGGCTTCGTAGGCCTTTTCCTAGCAGACACATTCGGTCCCTACGACACGTAAGTGTTTCCATTCCGGAAGTTTATGGTGATCACCGTTTTAATCCAGTCTTGCAGATACAAGGGCAGCGCTGAGCCATCTGTAAGGACCGGGGCCCAATGGCCAATGGCCGACCCTGTCATCGTGAGTGAGCCCACGGATAACCTACAAGTTGACTTAAGTTGATTCCTGGCCAAAGCCTGTCTCAGCAATGGCAGCGGTGACGAAGAATCTGGGCTTCGCGATTACTACGTCTACCTCGTATGAGCAGGCTTATGTTGTTGCTAAGCGGTTCGCAACACTCGATCATCTCACTCAGGGCCGTTTTGGCTGGAATATTGTGACTAGCTGGAAAGAGTCCGCATCCAAGGCTGTGAGTGGTTTTAGTTGCAGGTCGCCAAACATGTCAAGCTGACAAGTAGCACAGGTCGGATTGCCCCTTGTAGAGCACGACACTCGGTATGAAAATGCGGATGAATACCTCCGTGTGCTATACAAGTGAGTTGCTGAGCACCTATGAGCAGATTACAACTCAGGAGCTCTTGCTGACGTTGCATCCAGACTATGGGAAGGTTCATGGTCAGACACAGCTTTGAAGGAAGACGCAGAGAACGGCATCTACTCCGACTACTCTCAGATCAGACCTATTCACCACCATGGCAAATTTCACGTCGACGCGCCATTCTTGACAGACCCATCTCCCCAGCGCACGCCAGTTCTGTTTCAAGCCGGAACATCGCCGTAAGTCACTATCACGATTTTTTAGATACACCAAGCTTATGCGTAACAGAGCCGGAATTAAGTTTGGCTCAACCCATGCCGAAGGCATCTTCGTCGCTGGTCTGTCACCTCATGTTGTGGCACCTCGAGTCAAGGCTATCCGTGAAGGCGCAATCGCTGCTGGTCGCGATCCCTATTCTGTCAAGGTCTTCGCTATGATCACTCCCATTATCGGAAAAGACGAAGAAGACGCCAAGCGCAAGTACGAAGAAGCCCTGAGGTATGTCTTGATCGAGGGAGGTCTTGCTCAATTCTCAGCTACGACCGGCATCGATGTTTCAAAGTTCGACCTTGACCATGAGCTCACGGAAAAGGATGTCGCAAACCATTTGCAAAGGATCCACTCTTCATTGTACAATCTGCGCTACCGCGGCGACGATGTCCCCAAGCTGACACCTCGCAACTTGGGCACCGTCACGGCAATCGGTGGCAATGGAGCTATGCCAGTTGGAACAGCCGCCCAGGTCGCGGACGTCTTTCAGGAGTGGGTTGACATTGCCGATGTCGATGGCTTCAATGTCGGATACGTCATCACTCCCGGCAGTTTTGAAGACGCCGTTGAATATCTCGTCCCTGAACTGAGAAGTCGGGGACTATTGCCCGAAGCAATCCAGGCGGATGCTCCTGCGCCTACATTCCGCGAGCAGATCTATGGTCTCGGACAGAAGGGACTGAGATCTGATCATCCCGGGTTCAAATACAAGTATGACACCTATGAGGAGACTGTTGCCAGGGAATAGGCGACAAGAGCAGATGCAGGAAATGAAAGGCCATAAGGCTTGAGAACAGGCGGCTAGAGCACTCGCACATCCTTGAGGACAAAGGGACATGTAGTACTCGAAGGAAATTCAAGATTCCTTTTTTTTTTCTTTTTTTTTTCTTTAGCCTGCCTGCCTTCGTCTGGAACCGAGATCACCGCAGCGACAAGATGAAGTTCCTGATGATCTACTTGCACCAAGGCCCCGGGATACGGAATTGCAGTATAGCCTAAAGACAGTACAGCGTCCAACGGCGACCTCCATGCCAATTCGACTTCCCATGAGGATGCCACCTCCCCGCAGCATCTCGCGGTCGCCAAGATCTGCCCCGCGCCGCAGCGGAGCCGATCGGGGGCAATCTTGGCACGGGATGTAATTTTCCACAACTCAGACCGACTATTAGGTCGAAATTCATCCAGAGAATGCAGGATGATCCAATTTGTCCGTCCAGGACCCATTCACTCGGTGTGAAATGGATGCATTCTCAGGGTTGTTCGGAATAATCGCCATCAAGGCGCATTACCGAACCAGCTTGTTAAATGGTCACCAAAATGAGTAAATATCAATAGATCTCCTATTCAAATAAGTCGTGTCAGTTTCTTTGGAAGACAGACCAACTTCTGTCAGGACAATACATCTTGCCAAAAATGAGGTCTGTCAATGCGGCGCTTGTAGTTGGCGTTGTGGCAGCAGGCCTGGGTGCGGGCGCGCCAGCCTGCAATCATCCTCCGTATTCTGCATGGATGACCGACTCAATGATCCGACGTGGAGTTGAGCCAAGTTTTCACTACGATCAGGCGACTCTGTACACTTCTTTCGAGGCTATATATGAGCATACAAAGAACCAGACGATTTACGACTACTACCGAGCCCAAGTCGACGCGGTGATCTTTCCCAATGGCACCATTGACGGTTTCAACTATTCGCGCTACAGTCTTGATCCCTACCGCTTTGGCAACAACGCGCTTTACTGGTACGAGAAAACAGGAGAAGAAAAATATCGCATTGCTGCAGATGGAATCAAGAGAACCCTGGACAACCACCCGCGCACACCTACAGGCGGCCTATGGCATCGCGAGGTCGTGTATCCAAATCAGATGTGGCTCGACGGCATCTACATGGCCGATACCTTCTATGCGAAGTATGTGTCGTTATTCCAGCCAGATAACCAAACAGCTTGGGACGATATCGTACTTCAGTTTGACAACATCGACGCGCGCACTCGGCGAGATGACAATCTGCTGGTCCATGGGTACGACGAGAGCAAGCAAGCTGTGTGGGCCGATCCCGAGACTGGCGCTGCGCCGCTGGTGTGGGGCCGTGCCGATGGATGGTACTTCATGGCTTTGCTCGAGGTCATCGACTTGCTCCCTGAAGAGCATCCCGGGCGACAAAGACTTCTAGGATATTTCAAAGGATTGGCACAAGGTCTCAAAGGCGCCCAAGACGAGTCCGGTGGTTGGTGGAACGTGATGGAAAAGCGCTACGAGGACGTCGAGGGGAACTACATCGAGAGCAGCGCAAGCGTCATGTTCACCTTCGGTTGGCTCAAAGGACTCAACCTGGGATATCTTTCTGAAGCGGATTATTTGGATGTCGCGAAGAAAGCGTGGAACGGTATGGTGGATATGTTCGTCACCCACAATGACAATGGCTCGATCAACTGGCAAGGCACAGTCATGGTAGGGAGTCTGGGAAGCAATGCCACCTTTGAAGTAAGAACACTCTTTTCAACCGTCTTCGGAACAGAGAGACTGATATTTGACCAGTACTACTCGAGCATTGGCCTTCGCCAGAACGACCTTCGAGGCGCTGGAGTCTTTATGATCGCTGCTCTTGAATGGGAAAAGAGATTTCCTTGAGATTCTTTGTCGGAAGGCAATCGGAGAATCTTGACTTGAGGTTTATGGTCTGTGCCATTAGGATAAACACAGGATATTCTATTTCTATTTAAATCATCAAAGCTACTTGTGATCAATGCGTTACTATGGCTAGGCGTCTTTGGTGAATCTCACATCCCTTACGACGCTGTGTTTGACACCAAATTCACTTGTAGCTTCAATTCACTGATCAATAAACCTGTCGCCGAGAATTTCGAGCGAAAGTTACTACTTAAATGACCTATCGGCATCTTCATTCGTCGGGCTACTCGTTCTCCACATCCACAAGAGCCTCAATTGACACTTAAAACACAAAACACATCCCTAACCAAGATTTATCAGCCTCCCTATTCCATCATCATGACTCAACCCAGGGCCAAAGAGATCTCCGCATACCGCGACGGTATATCGTATCCGGTCAGACAGAAGGACTTTTGGAACGCCTTGGCCAGATGCGCGAAAGCCTGCGGGGAGTTCAACAATCTTCCGAGTAATGCAACCCCCGAGGAAAAGTCAGCAGCTTGGCGCAAGTGAGTAGTCCCAGATTATCGTGTTATTATTGTCCTACTTGCAGGAGAATCAATTCACATGCGACATGGCATTGTATGGGATAACACTGACCATTCTTCGACTAGGATCGTAGCTCCTACCTCAAGTGCCGGCACACCAGTCAGCTCTGCCAACGATTTCCCCACCCCGTCCGTCAAAGGACCGATCAGAATTGACTACGACCTCCGTGTTCACATTGCTGCGGACACCTTCATCAACCATAACTGCACCATTCTTGATACTCCTGTTGCCGACGTTCGTATTGGTAAACATTGTTCCCTCGGCCCTCATGTCAGTAATATCTACAGCGTCGGACACAACCTCAACTCGGACACACATCCCAGAGTCAGCTTTGGAAAGCCAGTCACCATCGAGGATGGCTGCTGGATTGGAGGAAATGTAACTATTTTGTGAGTTGAAACCTCTGCCATGGCTGCTAGCAGTGATTCGGATTCAAAGCTAACTCATCATAGGGGTGGCGTCAAGATCGGGGCTAGTTCGACGATTGCCGCTGGCAGCGTTGTACGCAGTGACATTCCTCCTAGATCCGTTGCTGCCGGAGTACCTGCCCGTGTTATTCGCCAAATTCGCCCTGGCGAGGAGCACGACGCTTTCCCTGTGGCTTCGCTTCATGTCGCTCTACAGATCCCCAGCAACCATGGCGGTGTTGCACATATGAATGAGGCGACTAGAGTGCGCCTGGACGATTTTCTTGGTGAGCAAGACTAAATCTTTCAGGAGAAGCACATCTCGGGGTAGCGACGAGTGAAGAGGGGATATCAAGGGGCGTAACAGGATAAATTGATCAGGCAGAGATATTGCGAGTTCACCAGCCAGTAGACATCTCCACCAATCACATTAAAGCTTTGCCGCTCCTTCCATAAGCTCGACCTCAAGAATCCCTTGTACCGATGACGGTGAACCCCATATCTTAACAATCTTCAATCCAATTGACTCGATCAGCTCGCGCCACTCTCTCTCCGTGCGCTCCTTGGCAGAACCAAACGCCATCATAGTGATGTCGTAACTCGCAGCATGAGGATGCACAGGCCTGCTGTCATCTAACACATGGTCATGAATCAGGATCTTGCTGTACCCTGGCTTCATGGCAGCCTTTTGGTTCTCGAGAATTTTGAGGACGACTTTGTCAGGCCAATCGTGGAGAATATGGTGCATGTAATACGCCCGCGCATCTACCACAAAATCAGTGACCTGAGGCCGCATTCAAATGAACATTCGTTCGGACTTACGCTTGATTGGTTGAGGTTTGAAGAAGTCATACGCAAGTTTGTTGATCCCCTTGACCTGGCAGGCTTCCTCATCTGCAATGACGGACGGGAGGTCTTGCAAGTACAGCCTCGACGCTGTCTCTGGATATTTCTCCACGAACGGCTTGAGATCTTGGCCAATACTACCTCCCACATCGACAAGAAGCGGCAGGTTTGGGTCGGAATCCAAGAGGGTGTGGCAAGGGTAGACAGAAGTCCATCTGGCTTGACTTGACGTCGAAAGCTTCTGGACGACGTTGAACCCCTTCCCCTCCTCAGGGTACTTCTCAAGGTAACCAAAAAGACCACCTTCCCAGTTGAATGCGGAGTCGAACATCGTGTCGCGACTGCGTGTTGGATTGACAAAGTTTGTCTTTTTGAGAAACATTGGCATGTGGTGCAGCATTGGCACCGTGAATTTGTGACTATGAAACATCAGTCCCCCTTGATTGAGCTATGAGTGTATCAGGGAGAAATACTGGAAATGAAGCATGTGCTTGTAATTATTGTCCGCCAGTTGTGCAAAAAAGGGAGTGGGTTCGAATTTTCCAGTATTGGTGATTTTGATAAGACGGTTGGCAGCCAAGAGACGAAGCAGACGGCCTAAAACTGTCAGTACATGAAGAGACGAGGAAGTTGCCGTAGGGTGCTCACGAAGTAGTGCGGGGTCACATGGAGTTGCGACCCATTGAGCGAGCTCTGTCTCTGTCGCCGGTCTATTGCCATTCTCGTTCCATTTCTCGAAGAGTTGCAGGCTTTCAAATGTTTCCAATGCAGCTAGAACGGACGGCTGCGCAGGCCAGTCAGCAGTAAGAACGTCGTATACAAAAAGGCCAACCCTTTTAAAGGGAACTTGCTTCACTGAGATAAAGCCTCATGTATGTGTCCCACGGCGACTCGACGTCAATCATGAGTTCATACATCCTGAGCACGATTCTCATGCGGTCGTCTTCGCTCATATCAGCGAGTGATGCTTTCAGGTCATCAGCTGAGCGCAAGAAGGCCTCTGCAGCCCTACTCCCATTCGATTGCGATGCCATATTAATAGGATTTGGCGTTCGAAATCTGTCCTTGGTATCCTGTTGAGCGAGATATTAGAAGCCGTCGTCGTGGTCGTAGTCAAGTCTCGAGAAGAAAGTTCAATGCGTGAGTGTTGAAATGTGATTGCTGTCGTCGTGGTCTTGCTTCAGAGCTTGTGTAGGGTCTTGTACGACTGCCTCCATCTTTCCTCTTCCTCAAATACTTCATGCTTAAGCAGCAAAGTCATCCGTCGGAGGAACTGTGGAGCCGTGCCCTGGGATTCGTCTGATAGATAGACTTCCGTGAGCTTTGACTTTTGCGTTGCAGGACGTGTAAAAGCGCCGGAACATATTGTTTTGCTATTTGTGATTGGTCGAGATCTTAAGGTGGTGTACGTTAAGCTATCGCGAAACTTGGAGTCAGGGAGACGCGGAGGTCTCAGAAAGTCTGAAAGCATACCATGTGAAATGAACGTTTCTGCATGAGATCAACTGAGATTACGGAATATTCAGCGCGGATCATATGCTTCCTTGTGTAAATATTCTAGCCCAGCTGCCTCGGGCAAATTGGGTTCACCGGGGAGATAACCGTGATGAGATCTGCCAGCAGGCCCACACCCTCCGATTTCCGGTCCGGACCCGTCGGAACGGTGCCCGGGTATTGGCCAAAACTCCGGCCGTTAGCTGCTCTCCCCTTGACCAGTGCCACGATGAGAATCCTCAACACAAATCAAGGTCTGGATTTTATCGATGCCTGTTGGTCTCCAGATCCCCCATCACACATCCACTGACATCAGAACTTCGCATCCTACTGTTGAGTACCTTGGTTCAACTCAATCGCAGCATCCTCAATCTACCCTATCAGAAAGTTCAACGTTGATCATATCTTTAGAAGACTTTGCATCAGCTGATCCGCTTACGCCGGTGTGTTGGAACGAAGACGTGGGCAGTATGACGTCGACCGGAAAACACGCAACTGTTTTCACCATTCCGCCAAGCTTCTTCCTAAACATTAGCGAAGGCCACTCGCAGGAATCGATGATTTGGAAGGGTTGAATGGCAAAACCTCGGCGGCTTGGTCAGATTCTCTTCTCTCCAACTCCTCGTGTTCGACAAGTTACGAGCAGGCCTCCAGCGTGGGGCCGGTCCCCCACCGGGACTGCCGAAAGGGAACCTGATTGTAAGCAATTACAATGTCATGAATTGAAATGGTGAGCATAATAGCCAAGCGGTGAGCGGAAAAGTTGGAGATGCCAAGCATTTAACATGTGCCGAACGTGGAGCCGTCGATGTAGGATTGACAGGTGACCACCAACCCGGTTTACCAAAGGGCAACTGATCCCCGCTTCCCCGCAACATCCACTGTCACAACACCACAAGTCTCGTGCTTTTGTTCGTCCCGAGAGTCCAGACACCGTGAGCTGAGGTGATGAGTAGCATTCCACTCACGGACTAGACATGAGTCTTCGTGAATGCGAGCTTCGGATTGCGGGGGAGGATACCAGGTAACCTGCTTGAGGACCCGCCATCCTCGAGGTAGGGCCGACTCAAAGCCCCAGCTCAGTAATTCCAAGCACTTTCCAGGCTGTCACCCCAGCATAGCATCATCGGCGAGGTCGATTTATGGTCAAGTCTGTGCCCTAATGTGGAGCAATCTAAGGCTCTGGGGTCCCCGCATGTGTTCCGTTCTGCTGGTGACCCGAACATATGCCGACAGCTCCGGTCGGCAGACGATATCCCTGTATGAAGAGCGTGTTTGCCTCACTGTCACCTCATGTCGTTAGGAGAAAGTTCAGTTATGGTCATACTCTGTACCCTAGATCACGAACGTCAGGAACACAGTGTTTTCCGAAAGTCGTACAACGGAGGTTGGCATTAGTGATGAAGTCAACTACAGATTTCTCAGCATCGCGAAGAGCGGACCGTCGTGTGATTACCATAGGTCATCGCTTGACAGCCAGAAGTCTGTTCTCATACAGGAAGCCACTGTCGCTACCGGCTCGGGATTCTGCCATTGTCGCGCTGGCCTGCCCCCGACTTCCGAGGTGCCCCTCCATTGTTATGGGGGCATCACCACCTCCTACATGTATTGAACCCCTCTTCAGCCATTCCAGCGTCATCACTCCAGTTATTTGGACCGACGCAAGGCCGTAATATATGTTGCCAAGAGTCGCCTTTCCTAATTCCTTCGTGATTCCCACCTTACTGGTCTTGCAGCCCCCAGACTCAAGGACTCGAAGTTTGTCAGCCAATGGTGAAGGTTGCAGCCATGGAGGCAGTCTCTGGCATAAATACCTGCTGCTCTTCTGGAGGTTCATCAGCATGGCCACTCACCTCAATATCTCAGTCTCCATTGAACCTCGTTAATACGCCTGTGGGAGGCCAGTCAAGATATGAAGTCCGACTTAACGACACTTGCCTTGGCACTGCTGCCACTGGGCGTCAACAGCAACCCCACTGCACAATACCCTTGGCTCACTCATCGTGATGACTCTCTCCCTATTTACAGGAACTCTTCTTATTGCGTCGAAGCTCGAGTGGAAGATCTCGTCCAGCGCATGACATTGGAAGAAAAGGCCGGTCAGCTTTTCCAAACTCAGCTCTACCAAGGACCCAATGGCACCCTTGACGAAGGCGATGAGGCCGCACGCCGCAACAGCACCGACAATATGATCGATGACAAGCACATGACTCACTTCAACCTCGTCGGAGATATTACCGACGCCAAGCAGGTTGCCGAGTTCGTCAACCTCGTTCAGCAGCGCGCTTTGGACACCCGCTTGGGTATCCCTGTCACGCTGTCGACAGACCCAAGGCACCACTTCACTGAGAACATTGGAACCGGCTTCCAAGCTGGCGTTTTCTCCCAATGGCCTGAGACTCTTGGGCTCGCTGCTCTCCGAGACGCTGAGCTGGTGAAGAAGTTCGCCGAGATCGCGCGAGAGGAGTACATCGCCGTTGGCATCAGGTCCGCGTTGCATCCTCAGGTTGATCTAGCCACTGAACCACGATGGGCACGTCTCGGAAATACCTGGGGTGAGAACGCAACTTTGACCAGCGAGCTCATTGTTGCCTACATTAAGGGCTTCCAGGGAGAGACTTTGGGACCTCACTCTGTTACGACAGTGACAAAGCACTTCCCTGGAGGCGGACCGATGGAGAATGGCGAAGACTCTCACTTCACCTACGGCAAGAACCAGACTTATCCCGGCAACAATCTTGAGTATCATCTCATCCCATTCAAAGCTGCGATCGCCGCAGGCGCGAGACAGATGATGCCGTACTACTCCCGCCCAATTGAAACTCAATATGACCCTGTCGGCTTCTCTTTCAACAAGCAGATTGTTACAGATCTTCTGAGACAACAACTTGGCTTCAATGGAATTGTGGTCACTGACTGGGGACTCATCACTGATACTGTGATCCGCGGCCAAGACATGCCAGCTCGTGCCTGGGGCGTCGAGAACACGACCGAGCTTGAGCGCGCAGCTCGTATTCTCGACGCCGGCTGTGATCAGTTTGGCGGCGAGCAGCGCCCTGAACTCATCATCCAGTTGGTAAATGAGGGTATCGTCGCCGAAGAGCGTCTCGACGTCTCCGTTCGTCGTCTGCTTCGCGAGAAATTCATCCTCGGCCTCTTCGACAACCCTTTTGTGGACCCCGAGGCCGCTTCGAGAGTAGTGGGCAATGACTACTTTGCTCGCCTTGGCAATGAAGCTCAGCGCAAGGCCTACACACTTCTCACCAACAACAACGACATCTTGCCGCTCAAGGCCGTCAACGCAGAGACTAGGTTCTACATCGAAGGTTTCAACGCCACATTCATCGAGGCTCGCAACCTGACCGTTGTTGACACGCCTGAAGAGGCCGACTATGCGCTGATCCGCGTCAACGCCCCCTACGAGCCTCGCAGTGGAGGATTTGAAGCCAACTACCACGCCGGCTCCCTTGAGTTCAACGCCACGGAGAAAGCACGACAGGCTGCCATCTACTCAGCGGTCCCCACCATTGTGGATGTCATCCTGGATCGGCCGGCGGCTATTCCTGAAGTCGTCGATGCTGCTTCGGCAGTCCTTGGAAGCTTCGGTAGTGGAACCGAAGCATTCCTGGACGTCATCTTCGGTATTAGCTCTCCGGAAGGAAAGCTACCCTTCGACCTTCCGCGATCTATGGAGGCTGTTGAGGAGGCTTTCGAAGATGTTCCTTATGATACGAAGGACCCTGTTTTCAGGTTTGGCCACGGGTTGAGATATGCTGATAAGTGTGCTGCGTAAATACGTCGACCGATTCTTTTTCGGATACCTGGATAGGGGGGGAGTAATAAGTAGCGGATTACAAGGGAAGATCAGCGAAGAAACGGTACGATCTTATGAGGTTGTTGGAAGGGGGAACGTGGGTATTATAAAGCTTCACGTATATAGTTATTCATTGAATTTGGGCAACCCTATGAAATGATGTGTCACTTTGTCTCTTACTTCTGATCTTTGAGTCCATATTTATCGTGTCTTTTATTTCGCATCAATCCAAGGCGTGGAACCAATTTCCGCACGCCTCGACGCGTGCACCGTCGCTGCCTATGTGTTTCTGAAGAGAGTCGTCAGTAGCTGAGCTGGATGATTTTCCATTAGGGATAAAGCATGCCAAGCTACGTTTAACTCCATGATCGATGTCAGTCAGCCCGACGATCGACCATGCCAAGCACTTTCCTTCTACCTTCTTTGCTCTGGATGGTCTATACACCGTCAAGCGGCAGTGACTCAATTCATCCTCGGTTGCAATGCGTATATAGATAAAAATATTGGGGATGGAATCTTCCCAGGTGTACCCAATGCCGAATATTTTCCTCCGTAAAGGATCAAAGCTAACCCAAGAGGCTGGGCGTGAAGTTTAAAAGTAGCTTGTCGAGGTCTAAAGATGAAGTCCAGAGCCGGTCAGATATTATGATCAAGACGCAAGTAGAGCAGCAGGCCTTTTTTCTTTATTCCGACCAAAATCACGTGGACCTTCGTCTGCATCTGCAGGATGTACCATAGGATGCTTTGCCGAAGCTGTATGTCTTGGCCTTATCGCCGGGTCCCCAACTTAAGCAACTCGTCCCTTATCGCGAAATCTAACGGATATCAGACACCCCAGCCGCGGACACCCCAGCTTCGGCGAATCAGACTCGCAGAAAACAATAATGATCGCCATGTTAAATATCATAACTCCAATGGCGGCCATGCCGTCAGGGGAAATACGGGGATACCACTACCTATTTCGGTCAAAATACACGACCACTCTGGCCGTCCGAAGAATTGTCCTCGCCCGGACCAGCCACCTTCCCTGCCTCTGCGCGTCTGTTCAAACAGCTCCGTCCCTTGCTACCCCGCCTTGGCACCCTTGGCATCCACTCGGATGTGAGATGTCTCTGGAAGATGGATATGAGTGGTCGATGGGGTGTCGCGAAAAAGCTTCTGTTATCGGCAGCTAGCTTGTTGTGGAAAAGGTGACTGGGATGTGGTGACATGAAGCTAGGTTGTTTCTAGGGAACAGATAGGCCAGCGTTATCAGACAAGCTTTTGGTCCGCCCTCGAGGGCAGCCTGTCTTACAGGCATATTCCAGAGTATGGCACGGGATGTCACAAGCTGTGACCTCAGCATGGTTTCCCGAATGCTATTAATTGGCCGGCTCCCGTGGTAGTTCAGACGTGAGGCCGTGAAACTCTATCTTCGTCGCACATCTTCGCGAATTCAACGACAAGACAAGATGGCGAAAACCGAATATGAGGACTTCCAGCCCGAGGTGAAAACGAAGCCGACGAGTAATGGAAGGAGGTCGTCTCGGAGTGGCACATTACACAGCGTCGCTGCGGGTGATGTCGAGACACTGGAGCAATTGGGCTACGAGCCATCCAATCTGCACCGAAACCGATCTACGCGCACGCTTCTTTTCCAGTCGTTCGCCATCTGCTCGATACCATACGGACTTGGAGGTCCCCTCATCAATGTCATCTACGGCGGTGGCCCGTTAGCCCTTTTTGTTGGCTGGATAGTCGTCGCCCTCCTCAGCCAATGTGTCGCTTTATCAGTAGCGGAATTGGCTTCTAGATATCCAACCTCGGCCGGTCCGTACTACTGGTCCTTCCAAGTTGCATCAAGAGGCAAGGCAGCTCTTTCTTTCGTCACTGGCTGGACCTGGTTGATTGCCAACTGGACCATCACGCTCTCCGTCAACTTCGGCTTTGCATCACTCCTCGCCGGAACAATCACCATGATGGAGCCGACTTGGGTCGCAACGTCATGGCAGCTTCTTCTCATATTCTACGGTCTGACGATATTTACGGCGGTGGTGGTCATCTTCTGCAATCGATGGCTCTCGACTGTGGATGCATTCTGTTCGGGGTTCATTGGGGTGACTATCTTCGTCGTCTTGATCGCACTCTCAGTCCAGGCAAAAGCAGGCCGTCACGATGCCGCCTATGCTCTAGGCCACTACGAAGAGACCTTCTCTGGCTGGGAGCACTTTACGTTCTTCATCGGTCTCTTGCCCTCGGCATACGTCTTCTGCGCTGTTGGCATGATCTCGGCCATGGCTGAGGAGTGCAAAGATCCATCCGTCAGAGTGCCCAAGGCCATCGGACTTACCGTCCCTATTCAAGGCGTGGCGGGGTTGTTCTTCATCCTGCCTATCTGCTTTACCTTGGCCCCACTGGATCAGATCATTGCCTCCCCTTACGGCCAGGCCTTGCCAGTTGTTTTCAGCGCCGCCATGGGCACCCCCGGTGGCGGTCTTGGGCTCATGGTTCTCGTTTTGATTGTCACAATCGGTTGCAGTCTGAGTATCACAGTCGCCGCATCTCGTTGCACCTGGGCATTTGCTCGAGACAACGCCATCCCAGGTGCTCACCTGTGGTCCAAAGTCGACGCAAAGTTGGGGGTTCCCGTCAACGCCGTCATCCTAGTCACTATTGTCGAAATGCTGCTTGGTCTCATCAACATCGGAAGCACTTCGGCGTTCACAGCTTTCGTGTCCGTTGGTGTGATGGCCCTGGAAATTAGCTACCTCATCCCCATCCTCATCAGCTTGATGCATGGACGTAAAGAGGTCAATGGGGCTCGTTATACCTGTGGACCAAAGATCGGCACGCTCGTCAACTGCATTGCTATTGCTTGGATCTTCTTCCAAACGGTCTTGTTCAGTATGCCCACTGCGCTGCCAGTCACGGCAGTCTCAATGAATTACGCTAGTGTGGTCTTCGTTGGTTTCGCCGTGCTATTCGCCATATGGTACCGGGTTCATGCACGGAAAGGTTCGTTATTCCTGGCATCTAAACTTTGCGTAAATTATACTGATATCCCCCACACCAGTTTACAAGGGGCCGCCTGCAACAGATGGAATCGCTGCGTGAGACATCAGGGTTATTGGGCAGACGACGTAAGAAACAGACTAGAACTCCTATTAGACCGAGAAATCCCAGTTATCAAATGAAAAGTCCAGCCCAAACATGTTTTGCGCGTCTCCGATACTGGATAGTCCACCTAGATAGGGAGAATCGCCCACGGGTGTTCTAAAACTACTCGCACTCAACCCGCCACCTTGCTGGCGTTGAGCAGAGCCCTCTGTCTCCGCCATAAAGTGTCTCCGCCAAGTTACGAGACAATCATGTACGACACTAACGCTCAGCCGATTTCGAACCTGCTTCAGTTGGATATCCTCGACTGACGTGCCACCGATTTTGGTAGGATCGGGCAAGGCGCAAAAGAACCCGATGACATCGCCTAAACGGGCTGGCAGATCGTTGTTGACCACGCTCATCTTCCTCAGAGCTGCGATGGATGCTTCAACAAGCTTCATTCCCTCGGTTGTATCAACCAACGAGCGGAAGTGGCCGTTCGATGCAATCCTGAGGACAATCATGGATGCACATACGAAGATCTGATAACAGAAAAATGGGCAATAGTCGAAGAATTGAACTTCGCGCTCGTCTAGCATCCGACTTGAGTCGATCAAAGAAGACGCTGTGACGTAGAGGGCACAGATGCGCTCTTCATAGCCCTCAGATGAAGCATGGTCGAAAAGATAGAATGCGTGCAGATGAAGCCGCGCCGCCGTGGAATGCCACTTCTTTACTTCTATTCGATATGTCAGCTGGGGTCCCTGGAATTGCGTATTATACTGACCAGTCGCATTTGAGATGTTCAAGTTCTTGCCCTCAATTTCAGTGATCTCTTTGTTTAAAAGCCGATATAGAATGAGTCGTTCTCGAGTAGCCGGCTGATGCCTGGCATCTCGTGGTTGGTCCATCAAAGCCATGGTGACTCGACTTCGAAATGTCTCAATCATGAGGTTGTATCTGAAATTGGCGTTGTCAACAGCGCTTTCTATATTGTTTCGTATCCCATCGCCTTGCGATATATCTGAGCCGTACTGCCGCAAGGGTGTTTGTAAGCCGCACCCAATAGTCGCACTGGTGAGTAAAAATTCAGTATGTCTATGCAGATCAAATGGCCAATCTTAGTCAATCTTTGCTTGACCGGCACATGCACTGACCTTTGAGAGATAATCATACATGCTTCCCACGTCCTTGTCCACTCAGCAAGCTCCGTATCAGTCAGTTCCAGGGGCGCTTTCGAGAAGTCCTGTGCGTCAACAGGACGGTTGAGACCCATCTGTACGCCCATCTGAATCATCAAGCCCGTCAACACGAATGTCGGATCTGATGTACTGCTGCTTGTCGGGAATGGCCATGTGCACAGCAACGCAATAGCCTGAACGACATACACAGAATATGGTGTAGTTCGCACAGTTCTCCAGAGCAGGTCGGTCACTTTACGAGCCAGCTTCGGCAGCAGTGTTGGCTGTGACTTGAGTCGTCTGGCAGCGATGGATATAATTACCCAGAAAAGGAGTCCAGAGAGTTCGTAGTATTCATGTGGCGTTCTCATTGTATCTATCAAGGGCAGAAAGGGATGATAATATGTCTTGAAACTGTTCTAGGTATTAGAATAAGGGCTTTATCATTCTGGCAAAGTTTTGCAACTGGATGAACCTTCAATACTCACATTTGGAATAGGTCTTCAATCTCTTCCACAGAGAGTACGGCATTGCCCAAAGCCCGTGGACGAGGCACATTGAAAGACCCTCGAGGTAGTCGGCGTGGTGTCTGTTGGTCAATCTCGGGTCTCGTTGTCAGCCCTGGAGCCCGAGACTGTTCTGTGGTGATTGTGTCTCCCCCCGGGGATTCAATCGCATCGATGCTTCCTGAAAGTGGTGCAACTTGCAACGTAGAGTCATCTTGGTAGGCTATGATGGTATTGTTCGAACTGGAATCAAGGTGTCGTCTGTTCATTTCTGTTGTCATCGTCCATTCTGCTACAGCTTCCTCGCCAGAGGACGCATGAGAGATAGCTAAAGACCGTGTCTGGGCTTCGTTGAGCTGCCTTTTCAGTTCATGAATTTCATCTTCCAAGTCAGCGGACCGCCTGATCCTCGTAGCAATACCTAGTCAGCATCATGTTCCGCTTTCTTGGTCGGGGGTATTGCAACGGTTGTCCTACCGTCTCTTTCTGGTTCTTCTGAACCCCTCTTCAATCTTGCATTCGAGGTCTAGCCTGTGACAGCGCCGGCATCTAATTTGCATCTGATCGCGTGATTCGTAAGACACATATTCACAACGAAGCTAGGTATGTATCAAAGTTAGCCCAGCCAATAAGCCGCCAACGAGATCCAGCAAACACTGACCTTCTGCTGCTTGCATTGATTACAAGCCTTCCTTCGTGATGCGACGTCGCCAGGTGTCTTCTCCGACGCATTTACGGAAGTAACACCAGACCGAGATCGTGTCGTCCTAGAAGATGAACAATCATCCCCCTGGGATGTGGCGGTCCTTGCGCTATCCATTCAATGTTCCGAGATGAGAATCTTGGAAAACATTCTCAAGGCCGATACGGAAGCTGGCCGATATGGCGATGAGGGCGATAAATTGAGGAGAGAAAGGAGGGGAGCCAGGTTGGTGCCGATCGGAATTCCGATCGGAGCTGGGTGCAGATGGCTAGCGTAGGATGACCAACATGGCGCGGGGTACCTTTGTGGGCAAACACATCATCGACGTCATCCCGGAAACAGACCGTCTTGATTTTGGTTCCAATGATGATAGAAGTTTCTATTCTACATATTATCTTGCCTCGAGCCAGTAGAGATGAATGGCCTGTGGATGAAGCAGACATGCGCTGGCGCCTTGCGTCGAAGGACCCACCAGACTACACCTTGTTGTAAAAGTTTCCACCCGCTGCCGTATCGACAGCCATAGCTTCCTCCAATCCGACGATGGTAAATAGTTTCTTCGGGGTGAACTCCTTCTCCAGTCCTGTGTTTCCGGTTTTCTTGATTTTCACAAAGACATCCTTGATTGCCTGGTATGCCGGAGCGATGGACGCGAATGGGTAGATGATGACTTTGAAGCCGAGCTCTTGGGCTTCAGCCGGGGTCCATGACGGTGTGGCACCATGTTCCACCATATTGAGTAGCATAGGAGTAGGCGCCATCCTTTTACAGACCTCTCTTGCTTCCTCGGCTGTTGTAACTCCTTCCAGAAATCCGACATCGGCTCCCGCTGAAGCGGCAACCTTGAGCCTGTGTACAGCCTCATCGAAGCCATGGGTTTGGAGTGCGTCGGTCCTTGCAATGATGACGATGTCTGAGCTTAGGCGCTTCTTCTCGTACGCAGCAGCTGCGATACGTTGTCGGAACGTTTCAATGTCAACTACCGCCTTGCCGCCTAGATGCCCACAGCGCTTGGTTTGGACTTGGTCTTCGATGTGAAGGCCAGCGATGCCTGAGCGATGGTATTGTGCGATGGTACGTGCGACCATATTTGGGCCGCCGTATCCTGTGTCGGCATCCGCTATAAGAGGCACTGACGGGTTGAGGTTCGCAATCATTTCTGCGTGTTCGCGCATGTCGTTGAGAGATGCGAAGCCGAGGTCAGGCTGCCCGAGTTTGGAGGCGCATGTCCCAGCTCCCGTCTGGATACGATTCGTTAGAAATCTGGGTTCAAATAAGGGCTGCCCCGAAGAGATTGCTTGAATACCATGTAGATGCAGTCGAAGCCGACTTCGTGGGCGATACGGGCGCTGTAGCCCTCATACACGCCGGGAGCAATGAGAATCTCATCACGCTCTAGAATTTGTCTCAACCTGGCACCGGCAGATGCACCAGATGTGGCTTTTTGATCAACGGGAACGGAGCCCATGGTGATTAGGATAGGTTGCCCGGATTGGTAATGAAGACAATGAAGCTCAAGGCGGTAGGCAGGCTCTAGCAGTCTGGATGAGCGGAATGAAAGTTGATAACAGTCAAATGACCCTGTTCATTTGTAGAGCCTATTTAAACTACACCTTGAGCCAGTGACTCTTGTAGTGCTTCTTGTATTCTGAGAGTTACGTAGATAAAGTCCGGACCGGTCTCATTCATCGCCGATCGGACTTGCAGCGTACATATGGCCCCCGATCGGCCTCCCCGCATCGGAACTGAGCGCCGATAGGAAGACACATTCTAAGTCAGTCTCTTCTCGGAAGTCTCCAGAATCTCCCCATGGGGAAGAGTTTACATATCTGGGGTACTTGCAGATACTTGGCCGCATGAGACGTGGTGCCGGGAGTCATCTTCCAGCTGACCATGTTTGTGAGAGCGTGGGTGGTGCATAAAAGGTTATCATCACTCTAATGTCGTCAAGCTCTTCAATATTCTCTCAGTTCGAGAATCTTTCATGAGTTTTGACAGCTTGGCTACAGCTTTCAAAATGATGACATCTGTGAAGAACAACATCACGGAACCCTCTAGTGCTCATATTGAGGAAGGCGAGTCTTTCGAACTCAAGGCATCTTCAACGAGCCCAGGCCAGAAGAGCAAGCACCGACATAGTTCCTTCGGTTATCATGAGAGCCATGAATGGAAAGCAGCCGAACGCCGTGTCGTCCGCAAACTGGACATGACCTTGTTACCCGTAGTCTGGGTTCTATACATGTTCAACTACCTCGACAGAAACAACATCGCGTAAGTCACAATCACTCATCCATCTAACTGCTAGAACTTTTGCTAATTAAAGCAGACAAGCCCGTCTTGACAACTTTGAAGAAGACCTTGGCCTACATGGTACTCAATTCAATGTCGCCGTATCAATTCTTAACGTCGGCTACATGCTTGCTCAACTTCCTTCCAACATGATCCTCACACGAGTTCGTCCGAGTCTGTATCTACCATCCTGTGTCATCGTCTGGTCGGCTATATCGGCAGCCACGGCCGGTGTCCGCAACTACTCAGGCTTGATCGCGGTGCGATTCTTCCTCGGCATTGTAGAGGCCCCTTTCTTTCCAGGGGTATGCAGAACTTTGAAGGAATCAGAGCTTTTTCTTCTGCTAACATGATCATCGTGAAGGCGTTCTTCATGCTATCGGCTTGGTACACCAGCAAAGAACTTGCTCTCAGAACCGCAGTGCTTTACTCAGGTCTGGTTTTAGCTACGGCGTTCTCCGGACTAATTGCCGCTGGCATCTTCTCTGGTCTATCTGACAAGGCGGGTCTGCATGGATGGCAGTGGCTGTTCATCATTGAGGGCGCCGGAAGTGCACTTGCCGCCATATGTGCCTTCGCTCTTTTGCCCGATTTCCCCGATTCCCAGACGGGGAGTGGGAAATGGCTGTTTAGTGCTGACGAACTCGAGCTTGCACAGCAACGTATCGCTTTAGATCGGGTCTCCGTACCTGAAGCCGACCGGTCCATATGGCATGGGCTGCTTCTTGCTGTGAAAGACATCCGCACGTGGATATTTGTGAGTTTCGTGTACGATCTTCAACAAGTACTTTGCTGAATAGTTCCAGGTTATTATCCTATGCGCAAATCACACCGCGTACGGCTTCAACAACTTCTTCCCAACGTGAGTATCCTCTACCAACGAGTTCAAAGAGTCCGATGGCTGATCCCAATCAACTATAGTATCGTCAGCTCCATGCACCTTGGCACCCGCACCACCACGCTGGTTCTGACGGCCCCTCCATACTTATTCGGGGCCGCCGTCTCCTTCATCGTAGCTCGCTCAAGCGACCACTTAAATGAGCGCGGCTACCACATCAGCGTACCGATGGTTGTGGCCATCGTAGGGTTCATTATCTCGACGGCAACCCTCAATGTGCCTGCAAGATATTTCGCTTCGTTTCTTTACTGCTCGGGTGCTTTTGCTGCGAATGCTGCAGTTTATTCCTGGGCCGCATCCTCTCTCAATCAAACACCCGAAAAGAGAGCATGCGCCACTGCCATCATCAATCTTCTCTCCCAGCTAGGGAACATTTGGAGCCCCTATTTCTTCCCATCATCGGATGGACCCAGTATATCATGGCAATGCTTCTTATGATGGCCTTTTCGGCGTTGAGCGTGGTGTCGTCTTTGGTGATGAAGTACTTGTTGAAGAAAGCGAACAGTAAGATTCTTGCGGAGGCGGAGCGGATAGGGCAGCAACCCAAACTTTATACCGAGTAGATAGGACCGTCTGAATCAAAGCAGCACATGTCGTTTTGAGTAAGCTGGTGAACAGAAAGGAAGGGAATCTCTATTTTCTATACATTTACACCAACTCAAGCGAAACATCAATATCTTGGGCAGCCTCTATGCTTTTGCCCAGGACATTCTTCTCATGATCCAGCAGCTCTCTCACGTTTGTGCCGACCATGCAGCTCATGTCCTTCTTCTTCGCACCCTTGACCCATTGCTGGTCAATCATCCAGTGCGTCGGAACCTCGAACTCCGTCGCGTTGCCCATCTTATTCTTCAGCAGCCCGCCGTTGTACCACAGCAGATTATCTACCTCGTCCACGTGTGCAATCACGAAGCTGCACACCTGCGTCATGTCCGTCTGCACACCGCGGATCGGAAATCTCCAGCCAACCATGCCGCCATAATGCCTGGAGAAGGAGTATTTTGATCCTGTCACTTCCAGACCGATCCAGTAAGTTTCCTTGTCCCCGTAGGTAATCCGATACGTCCAAGAGTTGCGCACTGCATAGGTGTTTTGCCAGCCGATGTGGAGCAGACCCATGAGCACGTCCAGCCGCCCCTTGTTAAGCACAACGATGCCAGAGTCTCCCTCCTCGGCGTATCTTTCTGTCCAGACACGCGATTTCGACAGTTCTTCGCTCGGGCGCTTAATCATCTCGTGGTACCAATCGTGTCGTTCGGGGAACTGGCCCTTCCAAAGGAGTCGATCGTGGAAGAGCAGCGCGCCTTTCTCGCGATAGCTTCGCTGCTGCAACAGCTGTTCGGGCGCCTGCATGAAGACGACATCGGCGTCCAGGAGAATCACCTCCTCGAAGCGACTGCCGAGCGCGGCAAACGGCTTGATCGCCCATCCTCCCTCCGCCAATCTCAGAGTGGTATCATTGAATACGGTCGTAATGTCCAGGAACTCGATGTGGCCATCATCACCAGTGGCAGCGGCCTGGACAAGGGTATCACGGTCCTCCTCGCTCAAGTCCTCGTCGCCGGCGTACACAATCTGGATCGGTAGCGTGGTTCGGTGCACACGCGTCAGCGACGCCACCAGATGGCACGCGAATCGCAGCGTGCCAGATCCGGTGGGGATGACGATTCCCGCATTTTTCGGCTTATAGATGCCGTCGTCCGCTTGCCTCCTGGAGATAGCGTCGGCCGCTGCTGCCGGTGCGCCGGCGACTGCATCGACGCTGTCCTCGACGACTGGGACGACTGGGAGCTGCTGCTGCTGGGGCTGACGAACAGGGGGTTCCGCACTCCCAAAGCTTCGCCGAAGATCCGCGAGGGGCGACCGGCTGTGAGGGTCTCTTGGCGGAGATTGCAGGAAAGGGTACAGGGATGCCGCGACTCGTTCGATTTGCTCGGCTAAGAAGTCTCTCTCAGCCCCCACAAGCCGCTGTCCCTTTGGCGTCCTCTCCTCCAATGCCTCAATCCATGAGCGCAAGATCTTTGTCCTCTCGCCGAGTTCGCCAAATATCTTCTTGTATGGGGGTCCGAGAGGGTAGTCGACAAAATATTGTGCTGTCTTATTGATCGCATCGAGGTTGAGTCCCGATGTTGTCGATGTTCTGAAGCTGAACTCCGCTGAGCTGAATGGTGTAATATGGCCGTTAAATCGCAGTAAGTAGACAACCGTGAGCGTGATGAATGCCGCCGCCGCAAGGACGGGTGTCGACTGAGCGCCGTATCGTGATGAGAAAAGTAGTCGAACCATCCTCCACCATGTGTTTGAAACAAGTCGTCGAAGTCGTTTCCCTCGCGGCAAGCTGCGCGCAAGACACCAGACAGGAAACTAGACTGCGAGGCCGTTGGAAAGCTGGGCACGCCGTCTTTAAAGAGGCCAAGACCTGCAGCGATAGCTTCCATTTTTGGAGATTGAGGGTTTTTTAGTGAAAGCTTAACCATGCCGGGTTTCCTTCCGCTGCGGCAGAAATTAATCTATCTGACTGGCAGCTCCTCCGTGGTGCGGCTCGCAAGTCCCGAAGTGCTCTGCAGACCTGCCAAACAACATAACAGGCCATCCTGTTTGACGTTAGATAGGCCGCGCCAGCAGGCTCAGCCGTGGCGTCGTCTCATTGCGAAGCCCTTGCGTCTAGGATCCCCTTCCGACTCCGAGCTGCCGGGACAAACACGCGTGTTGGATATAGCGTGGTCCCACGTCCACTAAGATCCAGGCCAATGCCTCACCCGCATTCCGAAAATCATGCCCCTTTTTTCGTAAATGGCGAGACCTCTCGATCTTTTTTGAGGGTGAATGAAGCTATTTTGAATCATGGCGAGATGGGTTGTTCTATGAGAGCTGAGGTTTACTTGGTGTTGAGGATTTGCACTTGACACATTATGATCATCAATCAACGTTGTCATGGTTGCACCAAATTAATGACCGCCTCTAACGCTTGGCGGGCCTCTGACGCTTCGCCCAAAGTACTTCAATCAATCGCGAAATCTCACGTACATAAGAAGGCGCCCAAACTCGGGACGAAGGTTCAGCGAGATGCCAGCCGATGTTTAGTGGAGACACGGGGAGCACCAAGGGTCTGCCGTCTGGTGACAACACCCCGGCCAGACCCCTTTCTCATCGCCGGCGCTGTTTTTGGACTCATCCAGCCAATGGAGTTGCGGGGGTTTATTCTTAGGGCTTCGCGAATGCTTGACTGCAACACTGGAGTCTGGAATCTGGAGTCCCCGATGAAAAGTGCCAAGTCTCGCGTCTGACAGTGTTCACTTTCTGTAAGATCGACAGTTGGATTGTCATTTGCGAACACGGGATGGATCATTTCGCTCGCTGTCCCTGGGTGCGTCGCCAAGCTCCTTTTGTCGTAGCTGGTCTGCAATCGAACAAGCTTGAAGCTTTTAGGGGTTCGCCGGTCGGCTTTGCTTCTGAAAAGGGGTTAAGTTAGTGCTGGGTGCCTGGGTGTTTGAAACGGCTGACCGCTGTCAGTGTCAATGACTCAAACCATAGGGCGCAGGACCACTAACGGATGAGCGCATTGTCAGGCATCGTTGCTGGAAGTCAGGGTAATTATTTCATTGCTGTTGTTGGTGGCCTTTCCGTGGATGATCGGCGGAATTAAGTCCTTGGAATTGGGTGGATATCAACCGGTGGCAACAGCACATCGCAAACCGCGGGTTCCGATATGCTCTGTTCAGGTAGGCCGAAAGCCTTCTTAAATCGAAAGAAAACTCTGTACTGAGACCACAGTAGTCTTTGAATAAGGTGTGTTCGCGCCTGAGTTGCTTGAGTTGTGGCACACTGACTCGACCCAGACATCAGACTTGATGAGTTCACCTAGGATACGCATATGAGACAGCTTTGGATATCGCGCTAGCCGACGTAACGCACACTATGTCAGTACGGCTTGACTGTCTGTGGCAAGGGGAAACTCGTTCATAGGAAACTCGTTCATATATTGGCCAGCTCAGTGTCAAGTGATCTATCTTTCAACCGCCTCATCACAGGATCAACGTTCAAGTCGCACTTCAAACGTCAGCGCTGAGGTAGCCAAGACCAATGGCCTTTTGGTTTTGATTGGCTCTAGACTGGGGAGGCTGACTGGGGCTTTTCAATATGTTCTTGGGTGTTTATTCGGCTCCCAAGTCGTTTCAAACGATGACCGTGGCCTTTTGTTCTCCCCGTCGATCATCGTTGCACCAGACTCTCTATTGCGACTGTAACAATCGAAAGGATATGCTTCGCCATGCAGCCCTTGAAGACTTTCTGATGAAGGGCATTTGCGACTTCTTTGCTCACTTCTCTTAGCACCTTTCTGGTACCTGGCGACCTTATGTTTCCACCTGGGGTCATCATGTTTTCCGTCGTCATCATTGCTGCTGCGGCTCTGTTGATAGGCGTTCGGCGACCGAGATCGTCCTCGCTCTCTGGGTGTGATGGCGTCCTCCAACATCGTAATAATCTCATTCATTGCCTGTGCTTTGTCATCTCCCATATCTTCGGCACAGTCCTTTGCGTACTTCAAAAAGCCGCTTTTTTGGTCGTTGGTGAATATCCTACATCCTTCCCTGAGCAAAAGCCGAACCACTCCGCTGAAGGCCTTCGCTATAGCTATGTTCATAGCTCTGTCGAGGCGTATGTCTTGTCGTTCTTCCGGGAGGCGTTTCCCTAGAAGAGCACGGGTGGTGGCAAGATCTTCATTATACAGGCAATGCTCCAGCGCAGTTCGACCCCCCACTTCTCTGGCTCCAAGGTCCGCACCTTTATCCATGAGCAACTGAACCATGTGATGGTGTCCATTGTCAGCTGCCCATATCAGTGGCGTCCTTCCGTTGTTCGCGCTTGACTCGATGTAAGCTTTTCTGTCCAGCAAAAGCTGCCCCGTCTGTTCAAAGCCTTCATAAGCAGCTGCTGCTAATGGAGACAAGCCCCATTGATCCTTGGCATCGACATCGGCGTCGTTATCCAAAAGGAGCCTGACCACGTGGTGGTGGTTCTTTCTGGCTGCTAAGTGCAATGGCGTGATGCCGTCATCATCTCTTGCGTTCGCATTCGCGCCATGATCAAGTAGCAGACGACTAATTCGCACATGACCCTCATAAGCTGCTATCGCCAGGGGACTGCTACCGTTGCGGCCAGTAGCCTCAATGTTGGCTTTGCGATCGATCATTAATTGCAATACACCATCATGACCTTTGCTAGCTGCCATAGTCAATGGGGTTTCTCCGTTTCCATCTTCGGCTTCTAAATCGGCGTTTGCGTCCAGCAATAAGCGCATGATCTCAACCCGACCGTAGCGAGCAGCTAGAGTTAGGGCATGTTGGTCTGAGTCCATGTTGCTAATACTGGCCTTTTCATCCAGTAACAATCCAACTACCTCAACATGATCGCTTATCACAGCCAAGGCAAGAGGGCTTCGACCATCAAAACCTTCTAGGTCGATATCTAGGCCAATGTCTTCCCTGCGCTGTAGCAGCAATAGACACACGGAAACCAATCCCTCCAATGCTGCTCTCCCAAGAGGAGTCAGTCCGTCACCATCTTGAGAGTTGACGTTGAATCCTCTTCCAAGCAACCAGATGAGGGCCTCGATGTTGCTTGACTTGATGGCGGTCGACAACGCTGCGGCAGTCGTGCTGGATTTGGTGGCGTCATCCAGTTGCCCAGAAAGATATTCCATCGCTTCTAGATGGCCTATAGCAATAGCCCGCATGAACAGCTTGATTCTCTCATCGAAAATCAACTCTATATCTGCATCTTGAGCTGGCAAAGTGCGGGAGAGGCTTTGGGCGACTGAATTGTGCCATTGCATCAACCTCTGTACTCCCACACCCATTGGTAAGCGTTCGCTGAGGAAGGATATTGACTGAAGTATCCCGTTCTTTTTCTCTCTAAGTCTTTCATCTTGGTTGGTGAGGGATTTCAGGAATCCCTCTGATTCAGCCATTTCCAATGGCAAGCGCTCGAGCTCTTTCTTCATTGATGAAAGTCGAATTTCCTTGTACTTAATGTCCGCCTGTTTTTCCAGAACTGAACTTGCTGCTCTGTTGACCTTTGGGCCTAATTGAATATCCTCCTCGAATAGAAATTGAAGCCGACGATCACACGCGACCAATTCAATCTCGCTAGTAATGTCCAGATAGTCGACTTGTCGTCTTTCCAACTCAGCAAACGATATTTCGTAGACGACATAGCCGCCTTGGCGTTTGGTTGTTTGCTTAACTGTCAAATTGCACCAGCCATTGCTAGCTCTTTCTCTTCCAGTAAACCGCGAGAGGGAGGGAAGAGCGGGGATTTCACGCGCAAGGGTGTCCAGTTCCATGGATCTGGAGGCCACCATGAGATGGCATGTTAGCTGCGGTTGCGACAAGCTGATTTCCAATTCCAACATGACGACAAAGTCTGGACTTTGCTCCTCATTGTGCCGGAGTCTGATCCATGAAAGTTGTTTAGCGTGGCGTAGGAAGTCAACGCCAGTGATGCCAAATCTCTTGCGCGTGTCCCACCGATCCTTCGGGTAAACATCGAACACGGCCAATTTGCTGGAGGCTGGTACTTCAATGCTGTACCCGTACCTACCATCAAACTTTCTGATGTCTTCGGCCAGTGAGAGGTCTCGAATTCGCAAATTGGACGGCTCTTGTGAAGAATCTGTGTCAAATAGCTGTATGGCTTTGCTTCCCTTGGGCCTCATAAACTCGTCCGTTGCCGATCCTGGCTCGACTTGACAGAGAGGAATCCCTATGCAACCCTTTTGCTGGGGCCTTGAATAGCATTTGAGCAAGCCAAAGGTGTGTCCCGCCTTGGTTGTGTGGAGTGGAAGTTGTAAGTGATAGTAGCCACCGTTCACGTCTAGGCGTTGTCCGCTGTGACCATTTTCCCAAGGGACCACGGTTCCACAGTTGACGAAGTCCTGAGGGCTGGCGGCCAAAACGTTCCCGTATCTGTTTGTTGAAGGCTGTTGAGGGTGGAGGTCATCATGTTGCAAATCAAGTCCCCAGGCTAAAATGGAGGCGTCTGGGGTTCTCTGGAGGATGGCTTCCTGTAGCCGGCTGAATGCGGTCGAAGCCCCTTCTCCATACATGATCGGAAGACTGACGTTGAAAATACCGAAAAGACAGTAGGCCATGTCTTCTCCTCTCGTTGTCACTCTCTGGGCAGCCCAGGACATGCGCTGGGCAACGCTTGCATCCCGAAAACCGCCGAGGAATTGAGCAGGAATGCCAGTGGCCTCTTCGATCATGCTAGTCATAGAGGCTTTC